TACTGTCTTTTAATTTTCTAAATTCAACATTTAAGTACACCTAACTATAGTAACTAGTTAAACCTAACTAAAATGTGAGTAGGAAAGTAATAGCCTTAGCAACACAATTTAGTGCACATTCGTTATTTGAAACGTTTTTTAATAGGTATATGTAACCAGGCCGATTTCTTATGATTTAAGTTTACTCATCTGTTCATACATGCTAATAATAAAATTCTGGTAGAAACGTAGACACTATATTTGAATAGTACATTGCAGCCAGCTGTAGGGAACGAATTATTAAATAAAGAACGATACTTTTATTTTCAATTCCCAAAGTAAAATACATTTTTAATATATTATACAAGTACAACATGTTCCAAATTAGTCAAACCAAGTATTATATAATATATATTATAACCTGTATAAATAAAATTGGAAAATATAAACTTGTATAGTTGTATATTAGTTTTTTCTAATTTGTGTAGAAAAAAAATATTTTGTCCTGTCAAAAAACTTGAATATATTACAATGTTGTTTTTATAGTTGTTTTTAGTGGAAATTTAAGAAAAATTTGAGTGTGAATCCACAATAATTTATTATGAGTTTCTGAAGTTAAAATATAGACAAAATTCATCAAGTTCAGAAAAATTAGCAAATTATTTCGAGTTTGATATTCATCAATATTTTTCTTTGTATACATAAGTTTTGAAAATTGAATTTATAATATTATCAAATTGAAGAGTTTATGTTGAATATTATAATATATTAATAGTATATACACTTGCTGTCATGACATAATCAGGTATCTATTTTATTTATCATACATTTTGCTGGCGTGAGATAATTATCCGTTTTGTTTTTAGCATATTAGGTACCAGCCTGCGTACCTATATGATACACATATTATACCATAATAACTTACACTCACTGCAAATTGTGTTGACCGTGAATGTTATTGCACTATAATTTTTATTCGTCAAGAAAATAAAAGTTGTTTTACCTCTTAAATGTACTTACTGTGAAATCTGCGATAAATGGTTCATCAAAAACGTACTTGTATATTTTTTTGGACGAAATAAACCAATTCATCTCTTCATCGCTATTATGATTTCACAATGGATTCCACTAAAAACTTCGATATCGGATTTGACAAATAATTACAAAATAGTATAAATGAACATAATAATGTTGAAAATATCAATAATATTATGGTTAAATGATTTTGTCGAAGAACTGTGTAACACCTCCACTGCCATTGCGCCAGTCGTTAATATTAAAATAAAATATTTTAATTAATTATTAAATTATAATAATTATCTAAAAAGATATCACAACGTCTACCTTTTTTTATCAAGTACCTATATTAGTGATAATATATAAGAAGTCAGAATATTATAGTTTATCGACAGTATTATGAAGTACTTTTCAAAACCGTAAAACTTGTACATTCTCGTTTTGATTTCACCCGCAACAAGATGTCTGTTGTAAACGTTTTGGTATTGTTGCTGTGCATAATCGTTATCAGTGAACGATGCGCATCTTTACACGATAAACATGATTTTTTAGACAATGTACATTCTCCAGCTGGCGCCATGAAAACTAAGGTATGTAATAAAAACTAATACACACTATATTGTGGGATAGTCATGGTAACTTAAACGTCAATAACTTGGAACTATCAACGACTCGAGTCTCAAATAAAAAAACATGTGGTCCTTAGAAGTTAGCATAACACTCGACGTATAATCTAAATTTCGTTATCTCAAAATACAAAATTAACATAACTCAACAACTCGAAATTTCACTGTCACAGATAAATTTGACATTTCAGGCCAAAGTAAATAATTTTATTTGTTTTACTCAATGCCTTTGTTTGTTGAAGTGTCTGCGTATGGTACATTACCTACGTAAATAATGACGTACACACTGACGAGGATTGGTTCGGGTGTTCTATTAATAAATCATGGCTTTCAAAAATGCTTTTTTATACCATAATAGGTATTTAAATATACTTCAATAACTTGACTATTTTTATTTATTTCGATAATTTAAACTAAATTTGTCCTCAACTCCCTTCAGGCTAAATGTACTGCGAATGTAATATATATATGCACCTATGTAATACTGGTATAAAAAAAAAATAATAATACTAATAGCTTAGTCGATATGTGACTGCTGTAGTAGCTATTATATTTCCTGAAAGTGTAAACAATTCTAACAACAGTCACGTTTAATGAACGTTTGGAAATAATATTCTATCTGTAGAACAATGGGTTTTGGGATCCTTTGGACCTGCCGAAAAGCTTCGACGCCCGGGCAAAATGGTACATGTGTCCGTCCATTGGACAGATATACGACCAAGGTAACTGCAAGTCAAGCTACGCTATTTCTGTGGCGTCAGCTGTAAGTGACCGGATCTGCATCCATTCAAATGGGACGATAAAACCAAAACTGTCGGCACAACAGATATTGTCCTGCTGCTACCTGTGCGGAGATGGCTGTTCGGGTGGCAGCCATTTTGAATCTTGGGACTTCTACAGAAGACACGGATTGGTTTCCGGGGGTGAATACGGTTCGGACGAGGTATAACAATTGTAACTTAGTAATTTTTTAGGAAACGTATTTAAGTATTACCAAACGCATGGTATTAGTAAATAGCTTATATTTTGGCATCAATAATAGGAAGATGCCATCAGTTTTTCACTGCTATTCGTCAGGTATGTATTTTTTCTTCTTGCAGGGATGTCAACCGTACACGATTGAACCGTGCCAGCATACGGAAACTGCAGTAGAAAACCCGTGCTCGAATAAAACATTTTTCACTCCAGAGTGCAAGGTTCAATGTTACAACCCCGATTATGGGACGAGATACGTGAAAGACAACCATAAAGGTGCACAATGTTTACATATAAATTATATTTTGTATACATCAATACAATTATTATTCTATATAAAACATAAAACATTCAAATTAGTTTTTGAAAATAAATTGTTGTGATACGCATTACACATCCGTGTTGACCTCTACCTCAATGCATCCAAGTGGAATGGGATTGTTTCAATTTTATCGTGACAAATTTCGAATTTTATCATAAAAGATGAACTGCCTCGAAAAGTTTTCGTGTAAAAAACTCTTCGTTATTCCAAAACTATAATTATAGCTGTCTATTATACTCGTGTACT